ATGATCTAATTGTCTGCACAGGAAATTATAAAAGAATGTATAGGACAGTTTAGCAAGAAACTGGCTGTAGAATAAGTGTATAGAAGTTACTTATTTTTTCTACACTGTTAGTAATTCGAAAATGTAGTTTAAGTAAAGACAGCATTTATAATAGGACCAAAACCTATGCAGTATCCATGAGTAAGTCTAACAAAAGTTGCACAAGACTTATGCACAGAAGACTGTGAAACTGTACTGAAGAACCTTAAAGAAGCCGTAAATCGCAGAAAGCCTATGTTCATTAATAGGAAGTTAATATAAAGCTGTCGAGTTTCCCAAAAGTTCTCTGTGGAGTTAAAACCAAAGAAGCATTTTGGGAGACTTAACATACTGTTTCTAAAATGTGTTGGGGTAGATACATTGTGATACAGTCATACAATGGAATGCTGTATAGCAACAAAAAGGAACAAACTAGAACAATCTGCAACACAGATGTATCTTACAAACTGAATGTTAAACCACAGAGGCAGAAAACACAAGAATGTACATAATATCCTATTTACATAAAGTTCAAATTAAGCAAAACTAATGTACATTGTTTAATATACCTACCAGTCAATCCAGCAGCTCCACTGCTGGATGTCTGCCCAAGAGAAATGAGAGCTCATGCTCATGCAAAGCCTTGCACATGTGTGTTCCTAGAAGTTTTATTTATAATAGCCAAAAACTGGGAACAACCCAAAATGTCCACAGCAAATGAACAGATAAACTGTGCTCAATCCATCCACTGGACACCACTCAGCAATAAAAAGCACACTAATGGGGCCAGCCTGGTGGCGTGGTGGTTAAGTTCATGTGCTCTGCTTTGGCAGCCTGGGGTTCATGGGTTCAGATCCTGGATGTGGACCTACACACCACTCATCAAGCCCCATGGAGTGGTGGCATCCCACATACAAAATAGAGGAAGATGGGCACAGATATTAGCTCAGGGCCGGTCTTCCTCAGCAAAAAAAAAATAATAAAAAGCACACTACTGGTACAGCACCGTAGATGGATCTCAGACGTGGCATACTTAGTGCAAGAAGCCAGACACAAAATGTATACTGTGAGGTTCCATTTACCTGAAATTCCAGAAAATACAAATTCATCTATAAATCATTATTGTCCTAGGGCCAGGGCAGCAAGATGACAGCAAAGGGACATGAAGACGTTTGGGGGTTTCATGGAAATGTTCTGTGTCTTGATTGAGGTGATGGTTACCTGATTGTAGATATTTGTCAGCATTGTGAGCTCCACACCAACTGTGCAATTTATTGTGCATAAATTATACCTCAATAATGTATATTTGCAGAAATTAAGTATATTGTTCAGGGATCCATATATAGGTGTTAAGATTATAAAGAAAAGCAAGGAAATTACCAACATCAGAAGCAAGAGTGGTAATTACTCCAGAGGAGAGGAGGGAGGGCTCTGGGCAGTGGCCCCTGGCTTCATCTGGTGATCCACAGTATTTGCTTTATAATTATTCTTTATATTATACATTTGTTTGATTTACCCTTCTGTATGTGTGTTACATTTACAAAAAAAAAAAGAAGAAATTATAAAAGATCCTCCTAGAAGAATAGGAAGAACAAGGAGGGCTCCTTTTCCTATGCATTATAAAGACCTAGAAAGTCATGATGATTAAAACATTGTGAGGGGCCGGCCCCATGGCTTAGTGGTTGGGTGCGCGCACTCCGCTACTGGCGGCCCAGGTTCGGATCCTGGGTGCGCACCGACGCACTGCTTCTCCAGCCACACTGAGGTGGCGTCCCACATATGGCAACTAAAAGGATGTGCAACTATGACATAGAACTATCTACTGGGGCTTTGGGGGGTGGGGGGGAAAGAAGGAGGATTGGCAGTAGATGTTAGCTCAGAGCCGATCTTCCTCAGCAAAAAGAGGAGGATTAGTATGGATGTTAGCTCAGGGCTGATCTTCCTCACACACACACAAAAAAAATCGTGATATTGGTGCAGAATATGGAGCCAAGGAACAGACCTGTACAAGCACTGAGCTTTAGTGTATGATGAAAGATGGATTGGCAGATCACTGTGGAAATGAAGGCATGTTCATAAATGGAGTTTTGAACATTTGTCAGGTATATGAGAAAAGCTTTGAAATTGGATCCCTACCTCACACCATACTCAAAGGTCAGCTCCAGATGGGTTAAGATTTTAAATGTCAAAAGCAAACCTTTAAATTTGGAATATAGGTGAATATCTTTTTGACCTCAGAGGAGGGAAAGATTTCTGTAAAACACCAGCCATAAAATAAAAGATTGATAAATTAAACTATATTAAAATCAACAATTTGTAAAGAAAGTGACAAGACAGTATTTGCAGCACATTACAAAGGATTAGTATCAAGATGTATAAAGAAACATTACAGAACAGTAAGAAAAAGACAAACCTGTTGACAAATGGGTAAACAAAATGATCAGATGTCAGGCCGGCCCCGTGGCTTAGCGGTTAAGTGTGTGTGCTCCACTACTGGCAGCCCGGGTTCGGATCCTGGGCGCGCACCAACGCACTGCTTCTCCGGCCATGCTGAGGCCGCGTCCCACATACAACAACTAGAAGGGTGTGCAGCTATGACATACAACTATCTACTGGGGCTTTGGGGAAAAAAAAGGAGGAGGATTGGCAATAGATGTTAGCTCAGAGCTGGTCTTCCTCAGCAAAAAGAGGAGGATTAGCATGGATGTTAGCTCAGGGCTGATCTTCCTCACAAAAAAAGATCAGATGTCACAGAAAACCCATGACCAGTAAACTGCAGAGAGGTCTTCAGCCTGAATAGCACCTGGGGGGCAGACAAGGCCGTCACCGGCGGGGGGAGGGTGTGGAGCGGCAGTTCTCCCCACCCCTCTTGGGAGCGCAGATTGGTTCAAACCACTTTGGAAGAGAGTTTGGCAGAATCTAGTCAAGTCCAAGTTGTACGTCTCAAGTAACCCAACAGACAGTTCCACGCCTGTGCAGATGTGCCCAGGCAGGGCAGAACTGTGTGAGCAGCATCGTCCACTTGTCTTTTTGTCCATTCAGTGTCCATTCTTACAGCCGCAAAAATGAACAAAAACTATGGCCTCATGAAGGAGTTGCACAAACATGATGTTGAATGAAAGAAGCAATAAGAAAAAAATGTGTACATACGATTCTGTTCCTATAAATTCAGAAATCAGCACAACCAAACTACCATTGAGGATGCGTATAGAAGTCATGAAACCACAAAGAACTATGGGGACTAGTTATTACAAACGCCAGGACAGTGGCTGCCTCCTGGGAGAAGACAGCAAGGTGCCCCGAGATTGGGATCTTGTTTTGGGTTTCTTGACCCAGGGGGTGGTTACCTGGGCTTTTGTGTTGTAGTTACCTGTATATACATGTTCTGTATGCATGTATGTACATATGCATGACATAGTCCACAGTTACAGCACGGAAGCTTGATGGGGAGGTGGTGTCTGGAGCATAGGCAAAGAGGAGCCAGAGGGTTTGGGGAGGTGGCCAAGCCAAGTCACGGTGGGCCTGGGGCCCCAGGGAGCCCGTGGGACACCTTGCTTTGGTTTGGGTTGGAGTTCTTCGTTGAGTGGTTTGGAGCAGGGATGTGACTGATGCTTCTGAGCATTCTAGCTGCTGTGTAGGAAAGGAGCGGGGGAGCACACATACACTAATGGCAACAGTTGAGAGGCTGTTGCCAGAGTTAAGAGGAGACAGTAGAGGCAGAAGTGGAAGCTTCCAGAAGGTTTGAAAGCTGACCCTAGGACGCGGGGTTTTTGACCAGCTGTAGCCTGGGAAAGAGAATTTGGATTCTGGGAAATGGCAGTGCTCCGCAGGGAGGACTCCCTCCACCTGGACGGAGGCCCATCAGGCAGGCTGCATAAACAATTGTGGTTGAAGGATTTAACCACAGTTAAAGCAAGCACACTTGAAATTTCATCTACTGGATGAGTGACAACAATAACCGGTTTCAGGTTTAATTCAAATTTCTGCTGTCCAAATTAGAGCTGGAAAGGTGAGAACTTCAGAAATTGTTCAAAGTAAAGGTTTTGGAAGAAAATGTTCTTTCCTTCATTTAATATAAAAATCGGCCATTGTTGCCTGGGAAGCAACAGGGAAGGTGGCAAAGTGTGTCTTTTTTGCATGCTTTTATTTATTTTTTTTTTTTGTGAGGAAGATCAGCCCTGAGCTAACATCCATGCCAATCCTCCTCTTTTTGCTGAGGAAGACCGGCCCTGAGCTAACATCTGTACCCATCTTCCTCCACTTCATGTGGGACGCCGCCACAGCACGGCCTGACACGCGGTGCATCGGTGCGCGCCTGGGATCCGAACCCATGCCGCCAGCAGCAGAGCGCATGCACTTAACCACTACGCCACGGGGCCGGCCCCTCGCATGCGTTTAGCATGCAGTTTATGATCCAGAGCTGGACAGGGAGGCTGAGGGCTGGAGGCTTGTGGCTTGCCTCAGAGGCCTGTGGGCATTCCTATGCACTTGATGTGCCCCTGAGCGCGGGGGAGGTGGCGAGGGGCAGGCAGTACCCAGGTCTCACCATAAAAAGTCTTGTTTCAAGTCCCAGTCACTTGTGAATTCATGGGTAAACGAGGATAGGCTGGGATCTCCATGGCTTAACACATTAAGAGGGCGGGATGGTGGCTGTTGGCAGAGCCTGGCTGGGACGGCCAAGCTTCAGATTCTCAGATGGGCTCATCAGAAACTTCCCTTGGGCAGCTTCCCTGAAGAACAAGTTGGAAAAGAGTAATACAAAACACCAGAGAACATTCAGGGTGCTGACCATTGTCCTGAAGAAGGAGAACCCTCCCCCCTCTTCTTCCCAAGGGTCCTTCCCTCTCTGAAGTGTGGCCAGGCGGCAAGCTGTGATGCCTGGTCCCCCACACTGAGCCCCCAAGAGGACCCCAGGCGTTGCTGACACCAGCTTGAGTGTGGGCTGTTTCCTTCCATGACTGTTTGGCTTTTTGTCTTCACAGATTCTGCTTGGATTCCGCTAGACAGACCCGACAAAGACTGTCCATCAACTGGTCCAATTTTAGCTTGAAAAAAGCCACCTTTGCTGCCCACTGAATGAGGACCACCTGGAGAGGGATGCGCGGGAGGTGGGCCAGGCCCCGGAGCTGCCATGCTCGCCCAGGGCTGTGCCGGGTGAGCCGCCGCACCTGAGACCCCCTAGACCGAGAACTTGCTGCTCGACCCGCGTTGTTAGCTCATGTGCGTGTAGTCTGTGAGTGAGACTTCTTTGATCGTAGCTCTGTGCTGTCGGATTGGAACAGTAGCTCCCGCCAGTTCTTCCACCACTGCGGCCTCAGAGGCCTGGGCTGTGACCAGAGATGAGTTTGCATCATCCACATGGCTCCGTTGCCTCTGCATCTCGCCTTGTCCTGTCATCTGTCCCCGCTGGGGCGTCGCTGTCACTCAGCTCTCTGTGCCCCGCATCCCACCCAAGGCGGGCTGGGCGGGGCAGGCACTCTTCCGTTCTCCTCCACAATCTACTGTTTAAGAGTGTACACGTTGCGCTGTTTGTGTCTGATCCCCCTGACTTGTAGCCAGCTTGTGTAAGATCCCTTGCAGAATGAGAAAGTTCAAAAACAAAAATCCCACCCAGTACTCACACCATCAAGTCTGTTAGAGAGTGTACGACTGTATTAACACGGAGGCCTGCCTGGCTACTTTTTTAACATATTGTTAAGTAATATTAAAATCATGTCTTTCTTTTTGAAAGATGGAATACATTAGTACAGCAGAAGACCTCGTCTGGTTGCTTTCTGCTGGGGGCAATGGGGAGCATGGCGGGGGGTGGGGTGAGCAAGGGGCTGTGCCCCCAAGAGGAACCCAGGCCACCTCCCCTGGAGCATCTCCCAGGTCGCACCAGGTGGCAGCTTAGGGTTCCTGGTGCCCTCACCATCCTCCTTGCAGTGGTTTATCCAGGGCCTTTCATGTGCCAAGCAGGCCCAGGCCCCAGGACACAGCCCAACCGGATCCTCAGAGGGCTTGGTGGTAAATGCTAAGAAACAACAGGGTGGGGCAGGAAGGCCCCACGGAGAAGGGGACATGGCATTCAAACCTACGGGACTGCGGGAGGCAGAGCAAAGAGGGAGGAGGGTCAGTAGGTTGGGGTTACATATGACTTCGTGGGCTGGTGCCCATCCGGTTTGGGGGGTTGTGATCTCTAATAAAACAATGAAAAATTACAGATATTAAAATGGATATAAATTAGGAACAATGTGAGTAGTATTTTAAATAGAAAAAGGAATCCCAGCTTGGTTCCTCTCTTCTGAGATCTCTTGAGGCAGATTGCAGCAAGTTCGTGTGGAGCTGCCTCCTGGTTGCAGTCTAGCTTCCACTCACTTCCTAGAATACGCCATAGCTACCCTGCTGCCAGCCTCTTGGTAGACCTGGTCCTGTGCACATCAGAAGGATGTGGCTCGTCCCTGAGTGAAGGGGGAGTGGCGAGGGCCCCATTTCAAGGTGGAGACTGGGTCTGGCCCGGCTCTCAGCTGGGGAGAGGGTGAGAAGGGCCGCCCTTTGGAAATATTCTGACGTTTGGATCCACAGGACTTCCCAGCAGACAGCCTGCAGGTAAGAGGAGGAAAGGAGGCGAGGACTCCGAGGCTGAGCACTGGGGAGGATGGGGCTTCCTGCCCTGGAGGAACATGAGTCGAGGGTGCACATCAGACACCCAGGTGAAACGTCTGGCATTTGGGATTGCTGTTCCTGGACGGAAGGTCTCACACGAGCCTGTGAGGCCAGCCAGGAGTGAGTGTAGATGGAACAGGGGTGTGAGCCCCAGAACCAGGTGTCGAGGGTGAGGGCAGCCCAAAGGTCTCCGGGCAGGGCTGCTGTGGTCAAGACGAGGCCCAGGGACTGGCCTCAGGGCTCCGATGCTGAGGTGACCTTGACCCAGAACCCAGTGGAAGCTGGTTTGTGGGAGAGCGAGGGTGGGAACAGCAGGTCCAAGGAGCAAGGAATGGGGTAGTAGCCAGAGGAATGTGGAGTCAAGAGGCTGGCTGGCTTGTTTGTTTTTTCTAGGTGGGAGGAAGAACACACATCCCTTGGCTCGTGGGATGATCCAGCAAAGGAGGAGAAACAGACTGGGCTGTGACCATGGCAGGAGCCGTGTCCTCAAGATGGCCAGAGACCCTGATGTGGTTCCCTGGGACTCCAAGTCCAGGGCTGGGCCTGGTCCCCTTCTGACTGAGGCAGGGGCTAGGTGGTGAGGGCAGGGCCAGGGCTGGCCAGGCACTGGACCCATTGAGCAGCCTGGGCTAGGGGAGCAGATGCTTGGGAAAGGTCCAGGGTGGGGCCTTCTCTCTTGCAGGCCTGGGCCTCGCCCTTTGAGGAAGCTGCCCGCCCAGGCCCCCTAGACTCTGGCCCTGGCCAGCCTGGTTCTCCCGGTGGACAGTCTTGACGGCTGTGCAGAGGGGCAGTCCCACTTCGGGCCTCAAACAAAAAGCTTCCTGTTTGTCCCGTGGAGCCCCAGTGGCTGCTGAGGGTCCCAGCTGGGATATGAGCAGGGCTTGTCAGGGCCATGAGTGGTAAGAGGGAGCCGGGGTGCTCCAACGATGAGCACCCACACCCAGCTCCTGAGGTGGCCCCACCTGCTGCCTCCCACACCCCTGCTTCCAGCCAGCACACGGGCCTGCCACCTGCGCCACGTCTGCACACTTCCACCCCTCAGACCTCATGGCTTTTCTCCTTGCCAGGAATGCTCTTCCCCTATTTTCCTGGAAAGCACCCATCCTGCAAGACCCAACCCTAATGTTCCTTTGGCTCTTTCCTCAAGGGAGCATCACTTTACCGTTCCCAGTTCTCAGGAGCAAAAAAGAGGATGTATTTGGGGCCAGGAGGCTTAGGACCAAGTCAAGGGGTAGAGGAGGGTGGAGGGTGACGGGGGTTCCTGAGGCCAACCCCTCTCACGTCGAGCAGGCCCAGGTCTCAAGCACAGTACAGCATGGGCTGGTGGCTTGTTATTGTGCCCCCAGTCACTACATTTACAGATGGGGAAATCGAGGCCCAAGGTATACCTGCAGGATGTCCAGCTTCAGTGCCACTGTCTTCACAGGGGCCTAGGGCTGGGAGGAGAGCCCCTCAGATTCCTGATGAGGTCACTCCTCGACCACAGGGTCAGCCCCTGGGGGAGCCTCATGCAGGTCATATTTGACTATCACCTCCTTCACACAGTAGTAGTAATGAGAAGAAATAAAATAACAATAGCTAGAAAAGCACTGACAAAGTGTTCTTTTTTTTTTTTTTTTTTGTGAGGGAGACCAGCCCTCAGCTAACATCCAACACCAATCCTCCTCTTTTTTGCTGAGGAAGACTGGCCCTGGGCTAACATCCATGCCCATCTTCCTCCACTTTATGTGGGATGCCGACACAGCATGGCCTGACAAGCGGTGCATCGGTGCGCGCCTGGGATCTGAACTGGCGAACCCCGGGTCGCCACAGCAGAGCGTGCGCACTTAACTGCTTGCGCCACCAGGCCGGCCCCCAGTCAAAGTGTTCTTTTGAACTTTGCCTACATACTCATGCCATTAAAAAATCAAAATAAATATGGTACTAGAAAGGATTAATACTTCTTAATTCCATTAATATATTTTTTTAAAAGAGAAGAAAAATCTTATCCCACAGTTCCTACTGTTTCACTGTTTTAAACACAAATAAAACGTCTAAGTCATCACAGAACTGAAGTAACTTGAGTTAGGTTCTTCAACTTTACAATCACAAGCAATCAATGTCTGTTTTGGATCCACGATTAAAACGTAAGACTAAGTAGCTCTCTGGGGGTGGGGGACGCAAACGGCACAAATAAATTTCAAACAGCTCTGAGCTGTTAAGAACTTACTCTCGAAACAAAACGTCTGTAGCTGTGTGTCAGGAGCCAACTGTGTACCGCGGAGCCCTCCAGGTGATTTTCCATGGAGAATACTGTTGATTGAAGGACAAGTAATAAACATGTGCCACTTGCTAAGGCAAAGCTTACACATGTACTACCAAACGGAACAGCAGCCCCCGGGAAGGATGAGCTCCACGGAAATGAGCTCTTGCTGTTACCACACCAGGTCCGTTTTTGCCCGCCGCCCAGAAAGTCAATCACCAAGACGACAAGATTGCAGAGACAGGATTTAATCACAAGGCAGCCAAGTGAGGAAAACGAGAGAACAAGTCTCAAATCTGCCTCCCTGAAAATAGGGACTCGGGTATTTATGGGGAAGGGGGCAAGGTGGTCTGAAATGATTGGAGGTGAGGGGAGATGAGGTAATTGATGATCTTCGCAGGCGTAGTCAGGCTTCACGTCTCTTCGTAGGACACGTTCACAGAATGGCGGCATTAGCCTGCCCTGAGGGTGGAGTTCCAACCTCTTGCCCTCAAAAGGGCCCAGTTGATGGGTTGGTGGTGTCGGGGAAAGAGGGGGAATCTCCCTCTGCCCTTTTCCTTAAGGTTCTTATGGCTGGCCAAATAATTAACAAGACAGGTTAACAGGAGAAAATAATACCAAGTTTAATACCATGCATACATGGGAGAAAGCAGGGACACTGCGTTTCTCAACACAATAGCAGAAATTCTCGTCTTAAATACCATGTTCAGCCAATGACAAAGGAGGATTTTGGGGGTGGGGGGAGTCACAGGAGATTACCACTAAAGCACAGTAAACAAGAGTAAGGTTTATTGTGCAGTTTTAAGGCCTCACCTTCCACATTGATAAGTCTCTAGAAATGAGGTCATCCCCCCTCTTCCCAATACAGAGAGGGAGATACCTTTACAAATGGAGACTTCCCTTGTAAATGATTGTCTGGTAACTCCTCGCAGGGCCATGTAGAGCATGTGGCCAGAGAGACAGAACTTCCAATAAGATGGGCTTGTTGGTGCCTTTTCTATTGTAACCTCTATCCTACATTATCTTTATAGCAGTCATGATAATAACTCCTTCCTGAAACAGATCTTTTGTTTTAAATTTTTTAGGCAGTTTTGGAGGGGAAACTCAAATATTCTTCCTGAGTTCTCTGAGTCCTTATTGTCTTCAGCTCGAAATAATCCGCATACCAGAGTGGTGCTTCCTGGGGTAGCTTGCCCTGAGCACCATCAGTGGTCTCAATCCGGCCCGAAGTGGACAAGGGGTTCAGTTCCTGAAAAAAATAGCTCAAACACCCATTACCATGGTGACCCAGGCTCCAGAGAGATGTCATCTATAGGAACCTAGTGGGAGTCAGACAGCATATTGCCCAAACAGCACAGTTAACAATGGGTAAGTTTATCACGAAGATTTAAGTCCTCGCCTTCCGTTCTGATAAGTTTCTAGGTAAGGCCATCCCCCCTTCTTCCTGGTGCAGGGAAGAAGATACCTTTACAAATGGAGATTTTCTTTACAAACGTAAATGTCTCATAAAGGGTAACTAGAACTAAGAATGAGCTTAGTACAACCCACCCAGGTAAGCGGAGATGTATACAGTAATGGCCTTTTCTGGGGGCAGGCCTCCCATCCCAAACTCCTTTGGTCAGTTAGTGGGGGTGGGGGTCAAAATGTCATTCAGGCAGAGACACATTTTGAGTTGGCAAATTCCAATCCCCCATAGTTACTAGCTGCTTAATCATCAATGGCTGCCAGTTTCATTGCCATGCGCAACTGTAAAACTGAGGAAATTTTTTAAACAATGTTTTTGGATGTTGGGATAGAGGCAGCACGCGGCAGTGTTTCCTGAACAAAGGGCAGGAAACAAGGTAAACCTCCGAGCACCCC